ACACACACACACACACACGTATATATGTATATATGTATGTGTGTATATATATGTGTATATATATGTATGTATGTATTTAAAAAGAACAACTGGGGGTTTTGCTACACTGGCATGGCAGAAATGGCTGTCTGGTTTCCCAGGGCTCAAGCAGCAAGGGAGATGATCTCGCTAGGTCCTTTTCAGCCCTAATGTCTATGAAATCTATGAAACCAAGAGCTAGCATTGCCCAGTGGGCACCAGCTCTGGTCTGCAGAGGGCTGTTGAGGGCTGGCTCCACTCTCAAAATGGTTGATAGCCACTGTGCTGGAGCTGGGCTGCACTTGGCAGCCTCACCTGCAGTGTCATGTACCCACTGAGCTGCCAACTCTCACCTCCGACAGGCCCATGGCACCCGACTTTCATTGCATCTTTCTCCCCTGCTGCCGCTGGTGGCTTGGAGGAGCTCCTTGTAAACGTCTGCTCCGCTAAGTCATCACCCTCCTTCCAGACCCTCCTCGTAATTCTCCATTTCTGTGGGGCCGCTACAAGAGCCTGGCAGTGGCAAGGCAGCTGGTGTTGACCGCTGTTATTCTCTTGTACACCACTATCCATCTGCCTCCATTTGTTTAAACAGGTCTTTGGGGCCTTTTTTGTCTTTGTTGTTGCAGTGCCTGGCATGATGGCATCCTTACCCATATCGAAGGCTCCTACTCACAAGAGGGTCACAGATGGTTCATTTTTTCAAGTCCTTACTTTTACTCTGGACCCTCTTCTCTGGTGCTTTAGTCTCTCCTTATAGGGCTTGTCCTGTAAGTCCCCAACCATACGAGTGGCCCTCCTCTGGACCCTCTCGAGTCTATCAACATCCTTCTTGAAGTATGGTGCCCAAAACTGGACACAGTACTCCAGTGAGACTGGATGGTCATCTCACTGTGGTCACCTGACTCCAATTGTCTTTCCTGCCTAGTGCAGGGGGGCTGGACCTGATGACCTTATTCATAGATTCATAGATGCTAGGGTCAGAAGGGACCTCAACAGATCATGAGTCCGACCCCCTGCCTAGGCACAAAAGCGTGCTGGGGTCACATGACCCCAGCCAGATGCCTATCCAGCCTTCTCTTAAAGACCCCCAAGGTAGGGGAGAGCACCACCTCTCTTGGAAGCCCATTCCAAATTTTGGCCACCCTTACCAGGAAGAAGTTTTTCCTGATA